CGCCGCCTATCCACAGGCCGCGTCGACGACGCCACTCCCTTTTGTGGGACTCGGTTCGCCGGTCAACCCACACGGCGCCAACGGACTCAACCTCGGCCTCGGATTGGCCGCTCCGCCGATGATGCTGGCCGGTCCCATCGCCCATTCCGTCGGCGACTCGACCACCGGCGCCCGGCAACGCGCTACCACCACCAACGTCGGCGTCGGCGTTGGCGTCGGCGTTGGTGTGGCTCGGCAGTTTGCCACCAACGGCTTTGTGCGTCGACCTGCGGCCGACGTCTACGCGTCGGGCCAATGGGCGCCGGAGGCCGACTTCTCGGCGCCGGCCAATCTCGAGTTGCCGTGTCTGCAGGCCTGCCACGCCGATTGGTCGCTGAACGCCTACTTGGCGGCTTGGCAGAACGTCGACTTCTACTGGCGTCGCTATTTCACCAAACACGTCGTCCTCGCCCTCTTTCAAACCGCCAGCCTGCTCGCCATTGTCTACGCCGTCGCGCTCGGTCACGGCGCCCCCTTTGCCGCTCTCTTTCGCTGCCATCTGCCCGACACGACTCCGACGCCGACGGCGACGGCTACGGCTACGGCGACGGCGACGGCGACGACCGGAGCGTGGCTGGTGTGTCATCTGAAGACGACATTTTTGATCAACATTTCAGTTTTGTCCTTTGCCTTTGTCTGTCTCTGCGGACTCGCCTTTCAGGCAGTCTTCTTCTACTCGGCCTTCTACCAACCGCGCCGTCTCGGCCACGACGCGTCGGCCTACCTCGGCCTGGCGACGCGTCGGCATGGCGACGTCGACGTCGACGCCAACGCCGACGCCGACGCCCGTCTGCACGGACGGGACGAGGCGGGCAAAAGTTTCTTCGGCGACTACATTCGTCTGTTGGCCTACTCGGCTCTGCGAGAGACGACGCAACGCGAGATCCGCGGTCTCGTCGTCGCGTTGGCGCCGGGACTGTTCCACACCGACTTCCACTACGTCGGCTTGTTGTGCGCGGAGAATGCTGACCTGCTGCCGGACGCACTGCACATCCACTACTGGACACAACGACACGCCCGGCAACTGCAACGTCGTCGCTTGGGCCTGCAACAGTCGCGAGCCTCGCAGTGGGGCCTACGTCGAGCGGCCAGCATCAGCCAGCTGGTGCGAAGCGAGGATCTTTCGGTGAAATTGCATTTCAGCAAAGTCCGCATCAAAGTGGAGGTTAGCGATCTCTTCTTTTAGCCAATCACTCGGACACCGGCACGCCCGAACAGCCGGCCAGACAAAACTCCCAAGAGGGGATTGAGACGTGAATGCATCGTGAGCCGATTGGTCAGCCGACGACGCATTACATTCGTCCATCTATTCATCAATCCAACTTGCCAGACTCTTACATCGCGCGACAAGCAAATTGTTGAGAAAGTATCATTACATCCGTGCGTCAGTCCATTAGGCAAGAGAAATACTCATTAATTCCTTTATCCATTCATTTATTTGTATGCAAATATACATCCAACGATTCGTCAATCTATCCCACTAGTCGGTCCACTTGCCAACAACCAATTAATCCATTCATCCATCCATCCCATCTACAGCTTACATGCTACTGAATCAGCAATCTATCCACTCAACCATCTTCCTCTCCAAGTATCCATCTGACCGACACCTCATCA